TACATCCACGATCCTTTCTCTTTCTGACTCTTTTCTTGGACATCTCACCTTCATGACCCTTAGTGTATTATCTCAACCAAAAGCTAGCAATATATACAACTGCTACTATTTACAGTAGAGACAGCGATAACCGTCACACTAGACATCCGTAATCTATGTTATATAGAGGGAGTGCATCTGTGTTACATAGAGTATATAGATGCCATGGAGAAAATCATGTAAGAAAGAAGTGAAAAAAAGATGGGATCAGTAGTTGGCGTAATGGCTATGTCGCTGAACTCCCATGCAGTCAGCTGTGGTTCGAGTCCTAGACCAAGTGGCTTAAATTCACTCCAGGCACGTGTGTGTGCATGCCCAAGATCCTGAGAGGATGGAGGAGAAGGGATTGCAGCGTGGCCATCCTCCATAGGGGTGATTTCTCACTTTTTGTCTCTCTGTCTCTGTCTTTCTGGCAAGCGCACATGCCCTATAACAAAAAACCTCCCCCTTCCCAGGAAAAAAAAAAGAAAAGAAAAGAAATCTTGCCACAGCTACTTTGGTCCAGGTCGATTAAACCAGCAAAAGAAACTTTCTGGATTCTGATGACTGTAATGAATTCTTTAAATTGTAGTAAACAGTGGGATGAGATAGCAGAACAAAAGATAGGTACCATATATCATTTTAATTTATTTTAAAGACAGTCAAAAAAAAAAAAAAAACTGTAGGAGACAATATGAGCAATGCGATCCATCCTCTAAAGATAAACTAAATAATGATCATCCTATAAGGGTCTAAATCTAGAATGTATTCTAAAGACCCCTGAAACCACAGAGGTAAAATAACTTTAAAATACATTGTTTATTATATGGTCTGATTTCTTTTCTTTTCTTTTTTTTTTTTTAAACATAGATGAGGAAAACCAAGGCTGACAAAGAAGAGTGATTTATGTAATGTAACTGCTATTTATTACCTGGATTGAAATTTTCCTACTATTCCATGCCATGAACGTAAACAAAATGTATCAAAACATACAAAACTTTACTCTTTTGTCACAGTAATTACTGAATCCCTAGAATTTATTGTGTATGTGTATGTGTATATATTATACATATATACACATGGAGTTAGCAGATATAGAAAGGAAAATATTGAACCCATATTCTGAACGTCTTCCCTTTACACTTGCCTTGTGACCTTCGGAGAACTCAGAAGAATTACTTAACCTTTCTGAGTCTCGCTTACTGCCGCTATACAGTAAAAACATTCTACTACATTTATATAATTTTCCACTCCAATAATTCTCTAGGTTTTTAAAAATAACCCATATGATTTTTTTTCTCTGTTATACATGTTCTTAAGAGAGAAATCTACATCACAGCTATCAAAAGAGTTCACCAAAAAGAAAAATTTGCCCCACAAAAATCCCTCTTAATTTAAGGTATGAAAAGTTTTTGCTCTTGGCTAACATCCCACAACTCTGCAGACAAATGGTACACAATGGTTATTAAACAAAGACATTTATAAGAAAGAAACAAACATTATCTGAAAGAGATAGAATGTTTCTAAATTCCTGAAAACACGGAATGTTTTTTCTAGTATTCATTTATTTGACGGTCTGAGATTAATGTTACAAGATAATGAGAAAAATGATCAAATCTAACCATTGATGGACAGAAAATGGAATGTTAATGCTGAGATACTGTTTTCTACAAGCTCACATTAATAATTATTAATTTCTATTAAAAATGTACTATAACCAGAGACATAAAGGAGAATTTTAATAGTATCAATACTCTCTATTACTACTTATTGGCTAAATAGGCTGTTTATTATCAAATCCCTCTCTCTTAAGTATTAACATTAAAATGACAAATTGAACAGAACTTTACATTTCTAAAAAAATAAATCACCTCTAAATGTGTTTGACTGAAAAAATGTTAAGAGTAAAACAAATTGAAGACTTCAGATTTTATATTTAAATTATGCATCCTTTTATCTCTATTTTTATTCATTATCATCACCAAATATCTATACACCTGATGATGCTATTTGCTCAAGGAACAGACTTTCAAATTCAAATAAAGGAACAAAACCATCAAGAATTTTCCTTAAGTTCTTTAGGAGGGCTAATGTGTAAACCATCACTCGTAATTGATATCACTGAATCTTTTGTTCCTTCATAGAATGTAAGAAGCAAAAATGAAACAAAACCAAAAATAATGTGAATTATGACTTTATCCATTACAGAGTTGAGTAGTACTGCACTAAAGGTGTGATTATAGAAAAGCTGATCATTTTTTGGTAGCCTAGTTGAGATTTTCCTCAAAACATTTAAGAAAATAATACTTCCTAATTATTTCTTGTTGGCTTTCACGTGAATGTTTTCCCTCATTTTTTTTTCAAACCAGTGTTAGCTCAAGAAAGAAAAAGTTTTACTTAAAAATTAACCAAACTCCTTCTTGATATTGAATGGGGAAACAAACGATCTCCAGAGCATTCTGGAACTTATTTCAGCTTCATTAATCAGAGCAGATCGTCAAGATAACTGATCCAGAACATCCTGTTGGTGTTAGAGACCATCAGGCAAACTGTCAAGCTCTTTCCTCTTTCTTGACAAATATCTAGTGGTCTCTATCTGGGAAGCTAATTTACTCTTTCAATTTTCTTTCAGTGCCACGATTTTTTTTCAATTCACTATAGTTCTTTTGAGAGATATCTCTGTTTCTAGAATTTAGCTGGCAGCATAATGGTTACACAAATGTGTGCAGGTATACGCACACACACGCACACATAATTATATATACATATGTATGTGTGCATATATAAATTGTAGTACCTCAAAATTGTCTTCACTTTGTGAATTATTGGGTCGTTGGAAAAGTAATGATACATTTTTGCAAGAAAAACCTAGAAAACTACATCATGACTTTCCTGAAGACCCAATATAATCTTGAAAAAATGGTGAGGGATCTATTTATTTTGACTATCCCAATATGTTATCTTAATTTCTTTGTTTTGTTTTTATACTCTTATTCTGGTCATTAAAACTAAAACACGAGAAAGAAAAATCATATAGATTTTATTTAAAATGAGAAATATGTGCTTTCTAGTGTTATCTGTAGGTATACACACTATATATATTTATTAGGTATCTTCATCCAATTTTATTTTATTATTTTTCATATTCCTTCATGAATTATAACATTTAGACACTTTCTAAATGATTGCACAGAAAAAATATGCCAACATATTCATCATTTAATGCCCCAGTTCCCAGGATAATTATTTTTAAAATATAAATGACTGTATGTTTATTTCGATTCAACTTTTTGCACTCACGTTTACTTAGGAAAAATAAAAAAATCCCATCAAATTACTGTAAACATTATCCTATTCTTTCTCAAAACAGCTCATATTTTAAATGGTCTCATCATTCTATAAAAATATTTTTTCAGTTCATCAATTAAGAAGAAGGAAAACCTTTTTAGACCACCAGCCTGTTCTATTTCTGACTTAAGTAAACATAAATAAGTTGCAACAGTATCCTGTATTACTGGTCAAAAATACAGTCCAATGAAGGTCACCTGTATATCAAACAACTGCCAAAGTAGATAAAAACAAACAAACAAACAACAACAACAGCTTTTCCAGACACATTCACAAACCTTACCAATTCAATACCTATCTTTAAGAAAATTTTCTGCCAATTTTATTCCACCTAACAGGGTGTCCACCTTTTCTTCTGCCAAATCCCATTTAAATGTTTAATGAAGCAAATGCTTCTTGAACTAATTCTGTATTGGTTATCATTCATCTAAATATGTTATCATAAGAAAATAAAAAATAAATTAGTGTCTTAGTACATTTGGGCTGCTATAACAAAGTGCCTCCGATTGGCTACTCACCTTAGGCTGGGTAATTTATAAACAACAGAACTTTACTGCTCGCAGTTCTGGAGGCTGGGACGTCCAAGATCCTGGCACCAGCAGATTCCGTGTCTGGTGAGAGCTAGATTTCTGCATCATACCTGGTGTCTCTTGTTGCATCTTCTATTGGCAGAAGAAGTGAACAAGCTCCCTTGGGCATATCTTATAAGGATACTAATCACTTTCATAAGGGCTGAGGCTTCAAAACTAAACCATATTCCAAAAGCCTCAGTTCTTAATTCCATCACAATGGAAATGAAGTTTCAATATATGAATTTTGGGGAATAGGAGTAGGACAAATATTTTAGATCATAGCAATTAGCAACAAATGGTTTCATGAACAATGAATCTTCAATCAAGCAAGAGGCTAAATATTTCAAGAGGCTAATACCACCAAACAGAGAATTCCATTACTCTAGGATCTTTTAGTCAAAATCTTCATAAATAGAAATAATCATTCCAGTATAATAAAAAAATCTTCTGTATATATATCGCTTTGTACCAATGAACAAATTTAATTCACTCTAGTATACAACGGGAACAGAGGAAAGGGCTTTAATATTTGGTGCCTTGTAAAGAGAAAAAAATTTATAGCTTATGTCAGTATGCTAGGATCCCAGTACAAAACCTTTGATTTGTATGTAGTGTCTAAAGGTTTTCCTTGTAGCAAAACATTTGTCATGAGTACACCTGAAATGTCATCACAAGTTGTAACAACACTCAAGGTGGCTGTTATCTCTGAGAAGTCCAAGGCACAAGTTCACATAGAAAGTCGTATTTTTAAAGAACGCGTCCTTTACACTGAACTCACAAAAATGCCGCAAGCCTTTTAAAAATATTTACGTTCATTTTCAAATTATATTTCAGTTAAAACAACTTTGCACATTCTGGCTTATCACAAAGAGGATGCAGGATTAAGAACTACAAAACAACACTCTTGAAGAAAGCCAAGACCAAGTAGAAGCAATAATACAGAAGTGACGCCCTTTTTCAATGGCTTTTCACAGATCTAATTTCGTTGCCATTTGAATTGAACCAAAAACAAACAAAAGAACAAAATCAATGAATAAATATTGGACCGCCAGCAGACCTTACCTTCTTGAACTGCTTGAAAAGGGTTGTTGCCATCAACAAACGTCACGGAAAACGTAATTTTCTCAGTCTGTAAGATCTCTTCATTCTGGTTGAGGTCTCCAACTGCCGTGCGAAATACCTCATCATCCTTTTTGGCAGATTCATCAAAAATTGCTCCTAGAAAGAAGTGAGTGTCGCTGTTAAACAATAACATATTCTGCCATGCCCTCTAATACTATGCATTTGAAAAACGTGCACTTTTACTTAAAGCATGCATTTTATTTATTACTGAAACACACTGTACCGGAAGCAAAGTGACAACTGAGCAGGGACCTAGTTACTCTTTCCAGAAGCAAATGATGACTACTACATCAAAGTCTTAGTGCAGAGAAAGGATGGGGAAGATAATACAATGGACCCAAAAAGCCTTCATAGGACAAAGAGACTAATACATTGCATGTCTTACCCCGGAGATCGTTACGAATTCATAGATTAAATCACTTTTTCCCCTAAATAATAGGAAATAAAATCAAGAAACTTTCAGAAGGCCTGTTTGCAGAGTCTATGGGAATCGAGCCTGTCTTAGGATCTTTATATTACTTTTCCTTTTCTCTTTTTTTATAAACAGAGGTCTCATCGATTTCAGAGTAGTATACTCAGTAATAGTCATATTTCATCCATGTGTAATAACAATGATGAAAAGTGCACTGGCCCTTATGAAGCAGTTGACAGAACAGGATAGGTTAAATATACCAAATCGAAATAAAACCACTGAATTTCCAACCCACTCTGCCACTTGTATATGAAGTTTTCAAAAAGCTCATGGAAAATGTGTATTACATAAAAATTGTGCAACTACTACCAATTATTTTGTATCCAATAAACTTGGACTTTCATTCCATTTTCCATGAACTTCTTGAAATCCCTTCATAGATGGAAGGCATTTAAATTATAAATTTCATATTCGTCATATGTAAAACCCAACTATAACTATCTGAAGGATTACTGTGTGATTAAATGGTATTACCCAGGCAAACTGTAAGTCATTTGTGGTAATTAAATGTAAGTTCTCAATAGATGCATTTTCTTCCTTTATAAAATACTGTAATTCACAGCATGGATGAATCTAGAGGACCTTATGATAAATAAAACGAGCCACGTTCAGAAAGAAAAAATGCTGTTTGCTCTCACTTACATGTGAGATCCAAAAAGTCAACTTACAGAAGCAGAGGGTACAACAGAGGTTTCCAGAGGCAGGGAGAGGGAGGAAACAGGAAGATGAAGGTTTAGAGGTACGAATTTGCAGTTATGCAAGATGAATAAGTCCATGGGATTTAATATCCTGCATGAGGACTCTAGGTACTAATAGGATATCGGATACTGAATAAAAAGCTGAGGCAGTAAGTTTCCAGTGCTCTTACACACATGCCCAAAAAGGTAACTGTGAAAAGTGATGAACATGTTAATCTGCCGGACCGTGGTCATCATTTCACTGCGCATACAAATATAAAAACGTCCAGTTGTATAAGTGAAATACATACAATCAAAATAAATAAATGAATGCTGCATTTCAAAGGGTGTTTAACACATCATAGTATAATATTGTATGTAATCCTTAAATTAATCCCATGATGTGTACACAACTAGATGTACATACAGTTTTGAAAACTAAGATTCAATGCATGAAATATGCCTAAAGTCTCACAAAAAGGACCAGACTCCTGGCCTCCTCATCTCCAACATCCTTTCTCTGAACGGAAATGGGATTGCCTTCCAGGACAGTGACTATGAGAAATGAATATACTGTATGGGGATCTTGGTTTTATTACAAATCTGGGGGATGCGTTTTCCAATCTGGCCAAGCATAGTTTATTTGTATTATTCTGATTTCCAGTTCTGAACAGGCACACATTTTAAATTGTTTACCTTTTAATTATTAACATTTAGGCCACTGTACTTTAGTCTTTCTGTGTATGATCTCAATAGAATCCCTCATGGAAAAATACACTTATATCTCAGGGTAAATAACATGATAAAGGAATGACTTCATATAACTATCCAGAAATATATACATTTATTTATATATTTATATAATGACTATTCTATTCATTTCTATGTTATAATAAAATTGTGTATATATAAAAAGAACATATTTTCTTGACTATTATATTCATTTCTATGTGATAATAAAAATAAAATTGTACATATATACAAAAATATATTTATATATATATATAAGTATAATATAGGCATTATGTGAACAAATATATGAACAGATTATGTACATATACAAAAATATTTATATAATTAAATATATATAATTATATATAATTAAATCATATATATGTATTTATAGAGTTTTCACACATAACATATGAGTATATAGAGAAGCAAACTTTACATCTATGAGTTGTTGATTCTGTACATCTGTAAATGAAGTTCTAAGCCTTACAGTGAAAGACAGGTCAGGATATTAAACATGTTGTCATTAGAGTCATACATGATGAAGCAAGACTAAAGGCATGTCAGGTCCCGACAAGTGTGGCAAGTGGCTGTGAACCTCTCTATCCTAAGAGAGCCTTACAACTAAAGAGAGGAATCATTTTTTGCTAGGGAAGGTATATCTGTGAGTCTTCCTGTGTGAACTTGGCTTTTTCCTATCATTGTTATTTTATATTTGCGTGGATTATACAAGGGGACCTGAAAACGTTTATGGAAAATTGAATTAAATAATGAGTTTATTTTAGTATAAACATATTTGAAATCCATGCTTGATTTTTTTCATAATATGTGATTTCCATGAACATTTTTTAAAAATTTTTTCCAGAGGGCATAAGAACTCACTGGAGACAGAGAGCAAACGTGAGAAAAGCACCCCCCTACCCCCGTAGGAATGGTCAGGCAGCAAGCCTTTCTCCTCTCCTTCTCCCTCCTTTTAGAATTTTGGGCACACATTCATGTGTGCCAACATGTTTCTCAAACTACCGAGTCTGGGTCTCAAACCAAGCAGTCAGACATGTGGGATCTGGATGCCTTGACCACAATGCCTCCTGAACTTTTTGAAACCCCTCATATTAGTACTTTGACCAGCTTCCTCAAACCTTCCTTCCTCAAACCCTTGCTTTCTGTTTCCTACATATTTGAATGTCTGCCAGAGCTGAGAATATGAGAGAAAAGAGTGAAGGTTATTTTAATTACCATGAAGTATGTGCACTCATCAAAGAACAGAGATAGAGGGGAAAGGAACGCACAGCCCAACTGGTAATCCTGTCATCTCTTTTGCTCCATTTCATCACATCGTTGGGATTCAAGGCACACGTGCACATGCCAAGGGTGACCCAGATCTCTGAACCACCCTAAGATTTGTTTTAACTGACATATAAATCAAATACTCTAGTTATGAAATATTATATTGGCAAGATATTTTTGCTACAATCAAATGTATATAATAGAGTTCAATTTTTGCTTATCATTTCTTAAACATGTTAAATTTTACTTTTGCAAGTAAGCTTCTGTAAAAATATTAAGACAATAAATGTTAGATTTAGCTCACTAATTTAAGCCAGTTTCATAAAGACCCATTTTAATGTGATCATTCTTATGCAAATCTCGATTAATCACTACACTGAAATGTAATACTATCAGATTTGAATATACGAATTTCCTTAGCTGTTTCTTAGGAAGATATACACTTCCTATAACCGGAGCTGAAACAACCAATTCCTTTTTAAAAAGATAAGCTAAATGTCTATTCACACAAAAGCGATATGTGTTTATATCGTGATGTTTCAGCGTGTGAAACATCAACATGAAACATGGATTCTACATGGGCCTTTTAAAAGAAGAGTTTCTAATCAACCTTGATTGGTGATGTTATTGACTTCCACTGAGTATTAGTAATACATTCTTAATGGAAGCATTTTACTATTATCTGACAGAACACTTAATACTGGCTTAAATCTTATACCTGGCTAACAAATGGCAGAAACCTCCAGAAATGATAGCAAATTAGTCAATTCCGTGCTGAATTAAGATGTACTGAAAGGAAGTGCACAAAAGAAGTAGTTCATCTTTCTGCAAACAGCAAGAAACGACAGAGAGGCAACATTTCATCTTACTGCAAACAGCATAACCGAAGAACAGGAAATCTTGGCCAACACTACAAATCCCAGTCATTTATTTACTTTTTTCTTCAGCTATAAAATCTCATCTTAGGGTTGGCTTTGTACCAAAGACTGCAGGCACGATTTTGTATTAAACAGGATTCTGACAGCAACCACTGAGTTCCACATGGAGAACATTGGGAAAGAAGGTCCTTTCTTACACTATTTCTTCCACCTTCCAATAGTCATAGCTGTGACATCTCCTCCCCCTTTGTATTAATACACACATTTCCCATCTAATCCAATACCAACCATCCTAATTTACTTTTGGAACTACAGTATACAGTGTCTCCAGTTCAACGTTCAGACTACACAGCTAACATGATGACACAGCATCTAGTTCCTCCCAAGTATTTTTATTAGTATGTTTTTATGGCCAGTTTTATTTTATAACCTTGAGGTGAAAAGCCGACTAGATCTGATGTCAGGATGAAATAATTCTTTTGCTACTTACAACACACACAAGTATATGATCCACACATGATGTACACTTTCCACTGACCAAACTAGAGAAAGAATCAAAGCAATCAAGCACAAAATGAGCTCTTCCTAAATCTTCCTAGTACACCAGTTTATAATTTGTCATTCCCATTACTACAGGCTAGTATTCTGCTCCTTCCATGGGAGAGGGGAGAGGCTTTATCTAAACTTTAAACAAAGATAGTGACTGTGTGTGTGTGGGGGGGAAGCAGATAGTGTAATGTTTATGCTGCTGGACTCCCACATAGTCAACCTCAGTTTGAGTCCCAGTCCCAGAGGCTTAAAACTCACACTGGGTGCATGTGCACGTATGCCCAAAATCCAGAGAGGAGAATGGAGGAAAAGAAATTGTGGCATGTCCATCCTCCCTGGGTGGTGATAGCTTACTTTTTCTCTCTGTCTCTCCGGTTAGTCCATGTGCCCTACAGCAAAAATCTCTCTTAAAAAAAAAAAAAAAAAAAATATATAAGAGAGAGAGAGAGAGAGAGAGAGAGACTGTGTGTGTGTGCACACATGTAAGAGGGCATGTGCACT